AATATGTTGTTTGGCCCTAATGCAAGACTTCAAGAAGTCAGAGGTGGCTTGTCTTGAATTATTGATTAGAATACGAAGCTACCATAGACAGTTCTGACCTGAGCAAATACTTCAACATTCTCCTCTTTGGAACAGTTAAGTGACTGCTTATTACGCTTAAGATGTTGCTGGGTCCTGATTTAGTACAAGTTGATAATATTCTGCCTTGTCTTATAATCACGAAAACTGAAAGTACTTCACATGAAGTTGGCCAAAAGGCAAGAGGAAGGTACATGACACCAACGAGAGATTTAGGAGTTTTGTTTACAATGTTGAGGGCTCATCTTTCGCAGCATTGTCAATAGGTGTGACAGCCAATCCAGTAAGCAATGTATTTCCCACTAATACAGGCAGTACCTTTCAATTTTTTTTGTAGCAAATGAATCAATAATATTAATAGCAGAAAATAAAAATATGTAGGATGGGGAAAAAAACCTTCCGGAAGTAGTATGAAGTAATATTAAGTTGCAGATTCAGGACTGGTTACATTACATCTGGTGTATTTCCACACTTGAGGTTGTTGCTGCACAGTTTCAGCTGGGACTAGTCACTCTGCTAGATCAATGTTATGCAATAACAAGTATGAGGCATCTCATTTCCCCTGTATCCCCTGCCTCACTTTTTCCCTTCTCTGGCAACCCCCAGAGCTTCTCCCCTTTTCCTGCTTTTATCTCTGTCCCACCAACCAGCCAACATACCTTTTTCTCTCCCCCCCCCGTCAGCTTTCCCTCCTTCCCTCCCCTTGGTAGCATCTTCCTGGTAAAAGTCTGAGTTATATTGACAACAAGCCAGGTCCAGTTGTATGGCGGCTGCCACTGCAGGGCCAGACTCAGTTGCATGGTAGCTGCTGCAGTAGGGCCAGGCCTAGTTGTGCAGTGGCCATTGCTGCAGCCCTGGGACGGGCTGGGCTGAGTTGCACAGTGGCACCTGCCTCCTGGCCAGGCTGAGTTGTGTGGGTAGTGAGTCTATGGTGGTCATTGCTAGGGCTGATGTCTACAAAATTGTTCACTAGAGGATGGCTGTCCGAATTGTGCAAATGTTCTTATCCGGCTTACGGATGCTCAGACAGTAGCCATTTTAGCTCATGATCTGTTCACTACTTCCAAACAGGGAGCCAGTTTTTTGTCAGTCAGTTTGGCTGCCCAAAAACAAAGTCTGTTCATCAGTTTTTTTCCCCAAGTTTCCAAACAGTATAGTACAATCAGCAGTGTTTTATCATGCATATTCCCACATAGCCCAGTGGGAGTCCTATTCCCCAACCCCCATGCTACAAACTGTTTGACAGCCAATCTCATAAGTAAACAGCCAGCAGTCAGCCAACTATTATAAACAGTGTATTTTAAAAAAGAAATCTTATTTGGTATTCATTTAAGTTAGTGTTTTTGCTATTGTACAAATGCACATTTTTGCATAGCCTTACAGTTTTCTCCTTGCATCATTTAATTGCATGATTCGACCATTTATGATCTTAGATTGAATCATATCACCCATTGTGCAGAACACTCATAAGTCAAGGAAACAAAACTCCACCATCACAGCAGCTGCAATGCAAAGGTGTTTGATCTATTGGGTGGAATTTACAAGGGAGTCGATACTGGCTAAATATCAGAAGAAACTTCCTAACTGTAAGAGTGGTTGAGCAGTGGAACAGTCTGCCTCGGGAGGTGGTGATGGATGCTCCTTTGCTGGTTGTTTTCAAGTGGAGGCTGGACGACCATCTTTCGGGTATGTTGTAGGTATGTAGGGCTGTCTTTCAGCTATGCTCCTGCAGAGTGCAGGGGGTTAGACGAGATGACCTGCAAGGTCTCTTCCAACTCTAACATTCTATGATTCTATGACAGTAGTTGAGGCAGATGGTAGACAAGCAAGCAGGTTTGGCTCATGGGTGACTGTGGCTGTTAAAGATGGTATGTTCACCTATCAAACCTACTGGCTGAAAAGCTCACACCATCCGTAATCTGCACAGGGCCAGCTCTTGACTAGTTATGCAGTCTACTTTGTATCCATCTACTACAATATCCCCACATCTTGTCTTTGTCCCCAGAACATGGGATTCTCCCCTCCCCATTTTATTCTCATAATGCCATGCAGTAGATGAGGCTGACAGAGAATGAATAATTCAACATTACCCAGTGAATTTCATGCTGAGTGGTTTTTTTTTTTTTAAATCTAGTTCTAATCCAATATTCTTTAACAACTATACCAGCCTGCTTGTTTAGGGCTCAAAACAATGGTGGCCATTTAAGCTCACTTTTCACATTGCCTTCATGGTGTATCACCAGAAGCCCCAGATTACATAGGAGACATCCACACCGCAGCTTCTATGCATGCCAGTACTGTTGTTCCTGGAAACCAGGCAACAGTGATGTGGGGAAGAACTGCAGTATTGTGCTCTTTGCACGCGACCGGAGGCTTCTCGCACTTCCATGGCAGCGCAGGAAGGAGCCACACCACAACAGCAAAGCTGTGAGACTGTGCTGTGTACATTGCTGTAACTATTCCCAGTGCAGTTGTTCTGACAGGAAGATTTTGAACTTTTGTGACTGCTTTGGTATTCTTTTTTTTTTAATTTGCCATTTGTGAAGTCAGTGGAGCAAAGTACAGACAAAGGCCAGCAGCATCCAGTGTTTAATGAGTAAAAAAGGTCAGTGAGAAACCCAGGCTTAGATGGCAGACATGCAAATCCCAACAGTGAAGAATGAGTTATGCAAGCCTTGCCACATGAAAGCACTCATATACCACTAACAAAACTCTGGGCTCCTATTTTTACCAGCCTGAACTTCACATTGTTGACGGAGAAGACTTAATTTACATTACACAACTGAAATGTTTAAAAAATCTGGCACTGCACTATAAATATTTCCTGTTAAAGGTACTGCCTCAATGGAAGCCTTTTAACCTCTGTGCCGTATTTTGTACTGGCAACTATTTAGAAAAGAAGGAGCCTTCCAGCTGCATGGATGGTATTTATTTGCGTATTTATTTACTTATTTATTCACTGCAGCTCAGAGCAGCTAATGACAGAGCATCCTGCTCCCCCCTCCACTGGAAACAGGAAAACAAATTCCAATTTTCTGTTTTTAAAACATCTCTACAGGAATTTAGTTCTTAAAACATCTTATTAAGATATTGTACAACCATTTGGCACACTGTTCGTTTTAGATGCCTTTCTTCTCTTGGCAGTGGCAATGCCTTTGCAACCCCTTTTTGCACAAGATCTACTGTAAGCGACTTCTTCTCCCGTCATGGTCTCCAGTCTTCTGCTGTCTATGCCTGGAAGAAGTTTTTCATTTTAGCACCTTTCCTTCTTGAAATTTCTCCTCAGTTCTTTAGTACAGTCCCTCCTCAGCCATCTCTGAGCCAGTTTGAAACAGGTTTCTTGCCCCAAAGACTGCACAGAGGAAAGGCATGTTCCAGGAAAGTAGTAGAAGATGTTGAGGCACAGCTCTCACAGTGCTCATGGCTGTAATCCAAAAGTTGCACCACAGTACTCTCTGAGACAAGTTCTAAGGTCAGATGAGGCCCATGAAGCAGTTTAATTACATCTTGTGGAGTCCTTACAACATTTTAATGAAGACATAAGAATTGTGCATACTTGGGTGGATCGAACAGCACAGTTTTGTGAACACAAGGACTTCTACTGGTGGAGTGCATCTTCTGCAGCTTCCTCATCCCATGGTAGTCTGAAATCCTGCTCCTGGGGTGTGCCTTCTCTTTTGGGAGGCATTTTGGGCTGCCATAAAAGTTTAACTCTGCAGGCAGAAGTCCTTGTGGCCATGGAAATGGGTTGTTGGATCCACCCCACTGTTTCTCTTCTACATTAAAGAAACATGCTTTCAGAAACTCCACTCAATGTTATATATACCTCTTTCAATGTTGAGTGTATGCCAAGAATGTGCCCATACCCCACATGTAGCATAACTGTGAATCCTTACTGCTAGGCTGTGCCAACTTTATTACAGAACCTGATCAGGAGAGGAGGATGGGGTTGTACATCATGCCTGGCTTCCATCCTTCTGTATTGGTCAGGTATGGCTGACTGTAAGTTTCTTGTTCCTGGTGGTCTTACCAAAATGTTTTCAAGTTGTAAGAAATACTATTCCACAGGAATGTGACATTCCTATTTTGCCTTAAGTATGTAAATCTATATTAATACGTGATGTTAAGTCTGAGTAAATATTGGCCTTTCTGCTAGATGGATGTGCCCCACTCTGTCTCTTGTGTGCCTGGCTGGAGAACAAAGTCATCTCAAAGACAACAGAGTTGGCCATTTGTGTTCTGTGACAGCACAGTCCTACAGCAGAACTCTTCGATTGCATATGGCTTCATTGGTACCCTTGCCACATGTATTGCTGCCCCTACCTGATACATTCATATGATTAGACAGGCTATAATGCATCTGATGCTGTCCTAGCCAACCACCATGACGCATCTGTCAACCACCCCCCACCTTATTCATTTATTAAACATTGTGAACCTAATGGAAAATAAGCCACAATACTCCACTCCTCTTCATTGATCTAGGAAATGATAGGATGAGAAAAGAGCTGTCTTTTCTGTTGAATTTGAAGACAACTGGGGCGTGGCTTATAGGAGGCATCCATTGATCCATATAAGAGCCTGAGCAGTGGAAATGTAGGGATATTTCAGCTTTTATTGAATTGGTTTTGAATTTGAAGAAACAATATGCATATAGGTTTCAGATGTAATTATAGTTTGCTCTAGGGTTGCCAAATCTTTTTTCACCGGGAGCAGGGGGCTCCCGGCTGTCGCCGTAGTCGTGTGCGCGCGTGTGCGTCAACCGGAAGTGATGTCACATGCTGGGGGCGGGGCCACGCCATTTGAGGGGAAAACTCTTTGTTTTCCCCTCAAATGGCATGGCCCCGCCCCCAGCATGCGACATCACTTCTGGTTGACGCATACGCGGGGGTGGGGTTTCCCCCGGGCCCCGATTCCGCGGGAGTGGAAATCGGGGCTCGAAAGCGGGGGGAATTCTGCCCCCCGGGGGCATTTGGCAGCCCTAGTTTGCTCTGATGATTAGCACCACTGATTTAAAGCAGCTTGTTACATTACATCTGCTCCTTGAACAAATTAAAACACAGCTCAAGAGGGAAGAAGGAATATAAACAGTTTACATTGTCATTCTGGGCCCCACAGGTATACTCAGTCTCCCACAAGCAACCTCACCCTTCAACTCCTATTGCACCTTCAGCTTTTGTTTCCCCAACGCTGCCAGTAACTTTATGACTGTAATACCACAGAATTCTTTGATTTGTTCATGGGGGCTGATCCACTGTTTCAGACAATTAGAAATGTAGATGATTTCCCCATTGATTTCAGTCTTGGTCTGCTTAATCTTATCTGTACATCAGAGATAGAACAGAACCCTTCCAGTCTTCTTTCTGATAGGAAGATGCTTAACATTGATATGCATAATGGCATGTGTTGAGGACTTTGTGGTGATATCCATCATACGTATTCTCATGGGCAGATACAGTTATCGGAAGGAGGAATGTGTCACTAAATCAATATCCCTTTTTAGAAAATTAAAAGTATCCTGGATGCAGTGTTCGTGGAATTTGCCTCCTCCAGCAAATTGACATTGAGGTGCCTTCCAGACAGTGACAAGTTATCTTTTGCTCTCTTTCATCCTATGTTTAGTCCAATTTAGTTTTTTCTTTTCCTTCTTCCATACCTGAGCACAAAAAGAAAAAAAAATATTTTGAAACACTTGAGTGCATAAAAAGGTGCTGCATCCCTACATATCTTGGGAAGAAATTGTGCTTCTTTTTCTTCTTACCTTTATTTCCTTTAAAAATAAGTTGAAGCCCCCCTGCATCATTCCTGAAACTGCTGTGAGAGGGGTTTTCAGTATAAGTCTCTATAATATCCCAACTATTTTTGAATCAGCTGAATAAATTGTATTAATAGTTACAGTGCCTATATCTGAAGAGGCAGCTTTGTTTGAACATGGGCTTTGGGGAGGGCTGTGGCTCAGTGGTAGAGCATCTGCACTGCATGTGAAGGACACCAGGTTCAATCCCTGGCGTCTCCAGTTAAAAGGACCAGGTAGGAGGTGATGTGAAAGACCAATACTCATCTTGATAGGCCAGTGTTTTGATTCAATAAAAGGCAACTCTGTGTGGTTCTCCTGATCTGTGATTTCTCAGAAAACCTTATGTATATTCTGCATAAAATAATCTTCATTAGAGTTGTGAATTAAAATAAGACAAGCAGCACGTGCAGTTCACTTTTGACCTGATCTGTGCTTTACTTTTGAGTTTCTTGTAGTTCAGTTCTATGACTTTTACTTAGTCTGATCCTATCAATGTTTACTCAGAAGTAAATTCCACTGATTTCCATGAGCCTTTCTAATAGGCTTGCCAAGTCCCCCGGGGGGCGGGGAAACCCCCACCCCAGAGGCCCGTTTCCCGCCGCTGGCAGATCGGGCCCCGGGGAGAACCCCACCCCCAAAGTACTTGACGTACACGTCACCTGGAAGTGACGCAACCACACCGGGCACGCTATGGTTTTCCCTCGGATGGTCATGGCCCCGCCCCCAGCATGCCCAGCGTGGTCACGTCACTTCCGGGTGACATGGTCGCACACTCCAGGAGCGAGCCGGGAGTCCCCTGCTGCAGCGATAGGTAGGACTTGGCAACCCTACTTTCTAATAAATGAGCATAGATTAGAATGTAGGCAGGATGTAAAAGCATCTCATTAAGAATGTATCAGCTAGATTGTACTGGTCCTGGCTGTTCTACGGATAACTTCTTTCAGTGTTCCTTGTTACATCACCTTCATTACAGAACTATATTAAAAATATTCCAAGGTTGTGCTGGAATCTTTTTTCTTTTAAAAATAATGTAATAATACTGATATAATATTTGAACCACCTCTGCTTTTCCCTTGCCTTGAAAGCACCTTGAATTGGGCTCAGAGGTAGATCAGCAGACAGTATAATTGCTGTAATATTGTGGTCACATGCTCTTGACAGCTGTCCTGACCAGCAGTCTAGCCACAGCATTCTGCGCTAGCTGCAGCTTCTAAACACTCTTCAAGTGCAGCCCCAAGTAGGGTGCATTGTGATAGTCCAGTCTAGACAAAACTAAGGCATGGATCACTGTGGCTAGATCCGACTGGCCTAAGGATGGATGCAGCTGATGCACCAGCCAAAGCACTCTGAACCACAATGGCCAACTGTTTTTCTAAGGTGACTGCTGTGTCAAGCAGCACTCCTAAAATAGGAACCTGGCTTTTCAAGAGGAGTGTAACCCAATCCAAGACAGGGGAAATCTCAAGCCCCTGGCCTGCATTTCTGCTAACCCACAGAACATCTGTCTTGTCAAGATTAAATTTCAGTTTGTTCATTGTCATGTAGCCCATTACTGACTCCAAGCACTAGTTTAGAACATCAAGAGCATCCTTGGAATTAGGTGGAAAAGAATGGTTTGTGGTATGTACACTTCTCTTTCAGCATAAAAAACCTGCAAACCCTGTTTAACTAGAGGAAACAGTGGGACTAATGATATAATTTGTGCCCCACGTAAAATGCTGCTGCAGCTGCCTCCCACTCATTTGAGAACTATGACCTGTCTCCAGTCACACAGAATTGCCATGAATAGCATATTCAAAATAGCAGATGTTATCAAGGGAACCATGCCAAAAGACTGGTGGATATTTTGCAGGCAGCACACATGTCAATGGTGGCATGAAAAGTCACCTTATGAACCATACAATAAAGTTAGAGTCCAATGGCACCTTTAAGACCAACAAAGTTTTATGTAAGGTGTGAGCTTTCATGTGATGTCTGACGAACTGTGCATGCACACAAAAGCTCACACCTTAAATAAAACTTTGTTGGTCTTAAAGGTGCCACTGGACTCTAACTTTATTCCATTGCTTCAGACCAACACGGCTGCCACCTTGATCTACCTTTATGAACCATACAGACAGAAGATGGTGATATTGAGGGGGGTGGCTATAAAACTGCTTGCAGTATTTACAGGCAGCCATTTTTACCTCATGCATAACAAAGATCAGTGACTGCCAAGAGGCTCCTTTATTTTCTGCCTCATAAGAACATAAGAGAAGCCAATGTTGGATCAGGCCCATCCAGTCCAACACTCTGTCACACAGTGGCCAACAATACCAGGCAGGGGTCATTTCGTAGAAAAAGAGCTAGGGGAACTCATTAGCATAACTCATTAGCATATGCCACACTCCCTGACATCACCGGAAGTGTGTCATAAGGCCACACCTCCTGACATCACCGGAAATGTGTCCTAAGGCCACACACCCCGCCCCCAAAGGTGCCGGCCTAGAAGCCCTCCCACCTTTGGCCCCCTCCAGCACCAAGCCTCATTCATGTTGAGCAATCTAGGTAGTGAGAGCACTTCATGGAGGGGGAGGACTTGAGGGGGATATGAGAGGTGTGTCTGGATCTCCAATGCTACTTGCATGGATGTTCATGTACCACTGTAGTGCTGAGGAGAAACATGGCTCCACTATGAGGATTGTCCATATGCACGTGCCATGCCCACAGGGCAACTGGACCATGTCCACTGTGTTCTCCTGTCTGTAGAAACATGCAGCATGCATGCATGCATGGGCAAAATTATTTTATTGGAGTCTGGTAAAAAGTTCTGTTTTTTTAATTGAGAGCCAGTTTGGTGTAGTGGTTAAGTGTGTGGACTCCAATCTGGGAGAACCGGGTTTGATTCACCACTCCTCCACTTGCACCTGCTGGATGACCTTGGGCAAGCCATAGTTCTGGCACAGCTGTTCTTGAAAAAAAGTGGTTTCTGTCAGAGCTCTCTCAGCCCCACCTACCTCACAGGGTGTCTGTTGTGGGGAGGGGAAGGGAAAGGAGTTTGTAAGCCGCTCTGATACTCCTTTGGGTAATGAAGGGTGGGGTATAAATCCAATCTCTTCTTCTTCTACTACTCTTCTTTTGCCTGTTTAGCTTATTCTGACTAAAATCTCCCAGCCCAACACCTCAAACCTTTTTTTGTAACTGTTTCTTTTGGAGGTTTCCAGAGCTGCTGTATATCCCAAAAAAAGACTCTCGATCTTTCTTTCAACATGGGTGGGTTGGGTTGGGAAGGAAACTTTTGAGAGCAGTTCTAAAAGGAATCTGACCATAAATCTAGCAACTCTTTAATGGAAAATCTGCTCAGCTAGAAAGTTCTTACCATGGGCCCCTTTGGAGAAAGAAGTGCCAATTAGTGCTTGGATTAGGGCAGAGGGGCAAACACATCTAGTAGTGGCATTTTTAGTGAAAGACATAATAAGGAAACAATTGGGTCTGAACATTGCCAGTATCTAAATACAATGGGTTGGGTGTTACTAACAAACCAAAAATAATTGGATAGGCAGTCAAAGGTTTAAGAAAACAATGGCTTGGCTCCAGAAGAGCCTATTGGCTTCAGATCCTGCGCTGGTGCCAACTGCTGATCTCCTGTGTCCTGTGCTGCTGCAGGAAATTTTTCCAGTGGTTTTGAAACCAGCCTGTCTTATTTGTCTTTATGAAAATGTCTCTGTCCTTTCTTGAGAAGTATTTTATTGCTGATGGATCTAATACTCTGGCAGAAATCCCAGTGTCTTTGGCTGTGGCATCAAGAATGGGAAGATTTTGCTTTGCCTACCATGTTTGTGGTTTAGCTTGGAAAAATGAACTGCAAATTATTTTGTCAGTGACAGGATTTTATTTAGTGCATATCTTGAAGAGGAGGGGGGAAATCCTTTGGGGCTTGGAAGTGCCTTGTAAATTTCTTGTCCCGCCCCCCCATCTCATCCTTTAGATGATGGCATGTGCTTGTTGCATACTTTTGTCATATGTAGTGTACCTGTCAAACCTTTATAAGAACATCTGATTTATATCATTTATAGTACTGTAGCATTTGCTGGCTCATGCTCGACACACAAGAATATCAGCCTTTTCAAAATGCTCTGTCTCTTACTTTTTATTTCTCGGTTTTTTTCTGGGTGAATTATAATAAATCAACATAGACTTCTAAGAGCAAATTAGCTAAAGAAACACACACACACATACTTTCCCCTTCTCTTTTCCCCAATATAATTATTAATAACATTTAATATAAAATCTTTTTATAGCTTTGATAGGTAGAAAATCTTTTTTCCCTTCCTCTTTTTCCTTTTTCTCCTTTCTCTGTTTTACTGTTTTGTTTTCCTTTTTTCCCTTTTCCTTCCCATTCCCTCCCTCAGTATTATCCCTCCCCCTTTCATATTAAATTTAAATTTCAATAAAAGACATAAATGTCTTGCTGGCTATATAATTATGATTATGAAATTATAATTATGATATAAAATGATGATGACTAGAAAATAAGCTTCATTCTGTTTCACCTTTTTATTCTCATTTAGAATTATTATATAAAATATATTATTAATAAATTTATACATAAAGCTTTAAGATAATCTATTATAACAGATATTTATTATAGTATAATAGGCATTCATTATAGTTTGGTTACTTATACAGTATTAAATGTGATGGTTGTAAACTGCATAGAAAAAAGTTTATGGAAACAGTATATGGAAAATTTGTACAATATTTTTAGAAACAGAAGAGCAAAGAGTAATGGCAAGTGGAACACATCTGAAAGACAAAAGGAAAGTAGAAGAAACTGATGAAGACCAAAAAAAGAAGCTGATAGAAAAACTAAAGTGAAT